TATTTTTATTTCATTCTCATTCCTGAAAGGTGGCTAAGCCAAGAAAACCATCCTCGGTTGACAGTTTTTTTCAGTCATCAACTTGAATATATTATTCTCCTGTCTTCTGACTTTTAATGCAGTTAATTAAAAACAAACATGAAAACACTGCTATCATTCCTATGAGGAATCTCTTTAGGTTTTAGCTGGTTTTATGATCTCTTTTTCTTTAGTATTCCTCAAAAGTACAGATTTACCTCTGCTTCCTGAATGTAAGTATTCATGTCTTTTGTCAGTTTTGTAAAATTCTCAGACATTGGGCCAGGTGGTCATGTGGTTGTTGAGGCACTGAATTCCCACTTGGCCAACCACAATTCGAGTTCCAGACCCAGCAGCTTGCAATCATGCTGGGCACGTGTAAGTGTGTGTCCAAAATCCCAAGAAGAGAATGGAGAAGGGATTGAGGCGTGGCCATCCTCCCTGGGGTGGGGGTGAGTTCTCCCTTTCCCTCCCTCTTCCCAGGGAATGCACATACCTGGTGCAAAACCTTTTTTAAAAAGTCTCAGACATTATATCTTTTTATTTATTTATTTATGTAAGAGAGATTTTTTGCTACAGGACATGTGCGCTCACCAGAGAGACAGAATGTAAGAAATCACCCCCCAAGGGGGATGACCATGCCACAATCCCTTGTCCTCCATTCTTCTCTTGGGGTTTTTTAGAGCACACATATACATGTGCTCAGTGTGAAGTTTTTAAGCCACCAGGTCCATGACTTGAACTGCAGTCAACCACATGGGAGTCCAGCAACATGACCATTACACCATCTGTTGTTCTCTTTTTTAGAGTTTTTTGCCAAAGGGTGCATACACTGGTGAGAAAGAGAGACAGTGAGAGGGAAAATGAGAAATCACCTCCAGGGGGCATCACCACACCACAGTCCCTTCTGCTCCATTCTCCTCCTGGGATCTTAGGCACATACTTACATGGTGTGATTTCAAGCCACCAGGTCCAGGACTCAAACTGTGGTCAGCTATGTGGAATCCAGTGATGTAACCACTACACCGCCTGCTGCCCCCAACATTATGTCTTGAGATAATCATTTTCCTACATTCTACTTT